GAAGGAAAAATGATTGCAACACACCCTTGTTTTGTAAAGTGTCACCCAAAACGTGACTTTCCTGGGGTGAGATTAAAGTAAGGAAGAATTCAGAGCAGGAATCAAAAGGAAATAGCTGCCCCGTGATGGGGACGGTGGGGACAAGGAGGCTGTAGCTTCAGCAGAGGTTGAGACATCCCCATCCCTCCAGCCATGCAGAGCAGGCCAAAGCACAGGCAGGGAAAGACAGGGAAAACCAAGAATGTTTCTTTTGCAGCAGTTTCCCAGACAGATGCAAGGAGTAAGGGAAAAGAGCTGGGGGAAGCGTTTTTGGCAGCCCGGGACTGCGGATTTTCACACTGAGGCAAGCCCCAAGGGGCAACCGCACAAAGCCAGAAGGTCTGCCTGGCTTCTGGGGCCAAGAAGGGACGTGCCAGGGCTATCCCGCAGGGGAAGGGACTCAGGGACACGGTGAGGGAAGCTCAGGGCTGACCTGCACTTTGAATTTTGAAAGGTGACAGATGAGACAGGGTGGCGACAGAGCAGGGAGCTTCACTCAGGGAGAGGCAAGTCTATCCCTTGTGCCTCCAGCTGGAGAAAAAAAAACCCAAACCCTGAAAAATCCATATTTAGAGACACGTCTGTGCCTGCCAGAGTCTATCGGCAGAGGGCAGTGACACTCGCACGCACATGTGTGGCACACACACACACACATACATCTCTGCCAGCCTTTAATCCATCCTGCTTTTGCTGCTGTCACAGCAAGGACACCTTCCACCACCCCTGCCCAATTCGGTGTGTTACTGGGAAGGCATTCTGCAAGGGATGCTCCAGGCCCGACAGCTGGCCTCTTTCTCTCTTTTTTTTTTTTTTTAATTTTTTTTTTCCTTCCCTTTTCCCAAAGCCCACGTGATATTTTTTCTATGTGCTTCAAAGCTGGGGTTTGTTTGTTTTTTCAAAACCAAGAGCTCCAACTCCAGCATCTGCGAGGAACCTTAGAGGAAATAACCCCTGGGCACAGAAGTCGTTGAGTGAACACGCAACAGCAATATTTATCTTTCCCTTCCCAATAACGGCGCAGGCGGCACGCAGCCCTCTCGCTCCTGTCACTCACAGCATCCCAGCAGAAAAGGAGAGCTTCGGGTGGAGCTGCAGGATCAAAAGCCCTCGCTGAGGCTGAAGGGGGAATGGGAGAGGTGGACCTTGGGCAGGTCGGAATGGGCGGTTTTATTTGGCAACGGGGAGCAAGGTTTTTGGAAAAGGGCAGCCAGGAAGGGCATGTGGGGAGAGGCAGGAGGTGATCCACTGTGGAAATGTTGTGGGAGGTGGGATTGAGCAGAGGAAGCGCAAGGAGGGAGTGCTGAGTTCCACAAGGGAGCCAGCAGCTCCAGGGTGGAAGTACACAGAGGTCCCACACAAAACAACTTGGAGCTGGTGGGATTTTATATACACTGATACACAGAAGTCTGCTGTCTCTCTGCACATCGTCCTGGGACTGCATTCAGTCCCCAAAGGGGGGAAAGCTGGCTTTGGGTGGAACCCACATGAGGGTTCATCTAATTTCAACAAGTAGAGATTCTCATCTCCTGTTGACTCTGTGGATAAAAACCTGAAGTAGCTCCTTTCACACTGCATTCAGTTACCCACCTCACGCTGATTTATTTTTCAGTTAATTTTTATTTGCTTTTTGACTTTCCATGTTGCACTGAGTAAAACTCACATGAAGAAGAAATTATCTTTGTGGATTTGGCTACGTTTGCTCTGATATAAAGGAAAAGAAGGACTTCAGCCAGGCTCCTGGGTTAAACAGGATTGAGGAAATCCAAGGACAAGAGTTCAGACCCTCAAGATGGCAGGTGAGAACTAAAGTAGCTGCATCCAGTGTTGATGAAACAGACCCTCTCCGCTCTCCTGACTGGGACAGTTTCTGCATGTGCTGAAAATACAAAACCAGAAAACAACTTTACTCTCTGTTATTGTTTACTGATTACTCCGACAAGGAATCTTCCCCAGCTGTTTGTCTCAAACACGCACCAGAAGAATTTACAAGGAGAAGCTGCAGGAAATAGGGTGATCTGGGGATGAAACAAGGAGCCAGTTTTGGTGCTTGGAGAGCTGTGCTCTTCTGGGGGCTATGGCTGTACAGGCACCCCAGAATCACCCTCACTCACAACCCGCTGCCTCCAGCAAGGGCTATCACGAGCTCTTACAAAGTTGATTTATCTTGCTGAGGGTGGTTCCTTGCTTTGCCCACTGGCTAGCCAGGAATTCTTGGTGGCTTGTGATAAAATTATATGTCATTCTCCTTTCGGTTTCCTCAGGCTTCACCCCAAAGCCACTTCTAACCAGAGAAAAGGCTCCAGTTCACATACAACACTTCAGATTAGAGTTTGTCTGCCTGTCTGGCACTGAAGACAAACAATTTCTGCTCTGGCTGTAAACCACAGACTCGCTCTTTAGCAGCAAAATTCTCATTTAAACTTTCATTTGGGCTCAGGCTTAGACCTGGTTCCCAAGCAGAAAAGTTTAAACCTTCAGCATGACAACAGACCAGGCAATCACCAGATACCTGACTTTGAGCACAGCATCATGCTTTCAGGATGGATTAACGCTGGGCTAAACATAAGCAGAAAGGCCACCAAAGAACTCGGTGTCCTTATGCCTACTGCCTGGCCCGTGCTGCAATTCAATGCAAACCTTTCCTAAGGGACCGAGAGCCCTTCCTCTGTTTTCCGCACGTCCCTTCCTCCGACGGACAATACCGAGCGCGGCAGGAAAAGGAAGCGCATATGGTTTGCACTCAACGACGGATCACGACAAGGAGAGGACACAGAGAGGCTGTGGGATTTTCAAGGACCCTCTCACAGCAGGAGCCTGCAACACAGAAGCAGAGTTGTGTCGCTTTACAATATAGGACATTATGCAACTCCAGTAAGCGTCCTTTGACTGCTTACCCTCGCATTTCAGTAGAACTTCAATAAAAGCACTTGATAGTCTACGATATTCCACTGGGAAATAAAAAAGGATAAACTACCAGCATTTGGAATTTTTGCGGTGCAGCAGTTCATCTTAGCAAGGTGTATAATGAGATTTCCAATAAACCACCACCCAAAGGAATAAGCCTTTTTCTCTTATAGGCTACCAAGAGAAGTGTTCACACAACTCATGTGACAGAAAGCAGCCCGCATTTGGGCACCGTGTGCATCCCATAAAGATCAACTCCAGACAAAATGCAATTGTGCCTATAAAAACACGAACGTTAGCTCTTTTGTTTATCTGCGTTGCAGCAATATTGCACTCGCTAAAATAAAACGCACCGTCCGTCTTCCAAGAAGATTACAATCATATAAAAAATCAAGTCTGGACTCGTCCTTTGCCTGCCTGGGGCTGCATTTAAAAATGTTATTCCTGGCCTGCTCCACTTAAAGATCTCCACCCGCACCATTTATCGAGCTGATGCGCAGGCTGGCTACTGGGCTACAACGGAAAAACAGCCCAGTCCCGTGGAAAAATATTATGAAAGAAAGAAATTATGCGTCCGCCTCCTGGTTGCCGGATGCCACCTGTGCAACCCATAGGCAAATCTGAGGACGATGAAACTGCTTTGAGGCAGGCATCACCACGCTGCTGTCAGCCAGAATCCCGGTTTAGAATGGAGAGTGGGAACGTGGGGGGAAGAAAATTTACAGTCTTGAGAGGCCTTTAGTACCTCTTTTGTTCCCACATGGTGTTTAGAGGCAATCTGAAGGGCAACTGCCACAACGGCTCTGACTGTGGAGGGCGGCTTGGTTGGGTGACTGCTCAGGCCAATGCTGGGGCCAAGGGCTTCATTGAGATTTTGGGATCATGCCTCCCTCCGCTCCACCCTTGGGCCCTTCGCCACCCGAAAGTGATAACTAAGGAAAGAAGGCCCAGGTGCCATTCCCTCTTCTAGGCTGTAAGGCTTGTGAGGATGCTGCTGCCAGACAAGTGAGGGAAATGGTGTGTACCATGCTGGGGTTGGCAAAAAGCATGGGGAGGGCTCTTTGGATCAGCAGACAGACTGCAAATACACCTGCCATGAAGGGGAGAATGAAATCGGTCAAACATGACTTCAGAATCAGTCAGGTTAGCACCCCCAGGCACCCCTCTGGGCCAGCACTGACCCAGCCACAGGGACAACCCTTGTCCTGAGGGGAGGGACAGGACGCCCAGGACTAAATCAGTGACCACAGCTCCTCTCCGGAGCGGGACAAAGCACAGTTCTGCCCTAAGGGGGGATCACTACCTCGGGCCCGATCCCCGATCCCCCATCCCCTCACACTATCCCCACTCCCACCGCCGGCACCCGACCACAGACAAAAGGCGGTTGTTCCCGCCCCTCTCCCATTTAAGCCTCTTTTTGACCAATCAGCGCCAGGGGAGGGATCAAGGGGAGGGACTAAAAGCGGGTGATTGACAGGCCCGCCTAGACCCCGCGCCTGTACGCGAGGAAGGGGGCGGGAGTACAGCGCGCTGGCAGCCAATCTCCAGCTGCGAGTAGACGGCTCCGCCAATCGGCAGGGCGGTGGGCGGGGCCCGCCGCGGGGTCAGGCCGGGAGTGAAGGCGCTCCATCGCTCCTTCCTCTGTCTCTCTCTCTCCCTCTCTCTCTCTCTTCCCCCCCGCTCCGCTGCCGGCTGGGACTTCTCACCGCGGGATCCCTCCGCCGCGGACCGGTGGTGCGTGTGTGTGCGCGCGCGCTGCCGCCTGCCCCGGTCCCCCTCCGCCTGCTCGCTGCCTTCCAGCGAGGGATTATTTCCCGCGGTTGTGGCGGCGGCCGCGGCGGGGCGGCTCCGGCGGGGCCCAGCGCGGCGGGACGGGCTTGCGCGGAGGATGGCGGCAGCCGGCGCCCGGCTGAGAGAAGGAGCCGCCCCGTGAGGAAGGACGCGGGAGCGCAGAGGCCTGCTCGGGGCCGCCGGGCCCTACCGGTCCTCCACACCACCACCCTC